AGGTGGAGAGGGAAGAAGCAGAGGAAAGGGGCAGGGCAGGGCCAGCTAGTGGACACATGTGGGGGAAGGATGGACTCTGTGTGGATCAGACAAAAGAAGGCAGAGTAATGGAATCTGTTTGTCAACTGAGGTCAGTTATTGGATCAGGAGTTAGCTCTGTAATTGACTGGCAAACTACAGTTGACTCTCGGGCATTTCCCCGTGGTCTGAAGTATGACATAACTCAAACACAGGGAAGTTTAGAGAATAGGGGAAAGGAGAGGAGAGGAAGGGAAGGGAAGGGAAGGGAAGGGAAGGGAAGGGAAGGGAAGGGAAGGGAAGGGAAGGGAAGGGAAGGGAAGGGAACTGAAGCTGAGGAGAGGGGAGAGGACAGAAGATATTAAGGACTTTTCTCCTCTCGAGTAAGACCCATTTATGCTGATGGGAAATAAAGGGATCCAGCGTGCAGGAGGGAGCAAGGCCTGTGCAGCATTTGAGGGGTCAGTCCTGGGCACTGGTCCTCGAGTTTCCAGAGTTCCACAGAATGTGAGAGCGACAGCTGTAGGCCGTGGCATGTGCTATGGAGAAACTTTTGTGGGAGAGGGTATAAAAAAAATCCAGCATCTGAAAGGTGATAATATGTTATTTAGGAAATCCTGCCAGGAGCATCACTCTAAACCACACTGCAAACTTAAAATAGTTGGTGCTGGAGTGATACTACAATGGGTGAGCATTCGCTTTGCTCATAGCCAACCTCAGGGGTCTGTCACAGCAGAGCAGACCTGCCCAGGCTCAGGCTGGAAATCACCTCCATCTCAGGGGGTGTTGGAGCTTCCTGTCAATCCACATATACAAACTCCTTGACCTTAAGTGCCTGTTCAGGGCAATGATTTATGATTGACATTCACCTCACATGCCTGAGCAATAGGACAGCAGGTAGTGTGTTTGCCTTGCACTCGGCTGACCTGGGTTCGATTCCTCTGTCCATCTCGGAAAGCCTGGCAAACTACCGAGAGTATCCCACCTGCACGGCAGAGCCTGGAAGCTCCCCATGGCATATTCGATATGCCAAAAACAGTAACAACAAGTCTCTTAATGAAGATGTTACTGGTGCCCACTTAAGTAAATCGATGAACAACAGGAAGACAGTGCTACAGTGCTGCCCATTCCTGATGGCACCTACATGCTGGCACTGGGGCCTCTGTATGAACAAGGCAAGTGTGTCTGTGCCCTCCAGGGGCTACGTGGCTGATCTGGAGGCACCAGTCTAAGCCAGCATTACCTAATGTGCTGGGGAGTGGGGATGGAAGATGAACCTTGGAAGGCTTCCTGGAGGAGGTGCTGTCCAAGACCTGAAAAAGGAGTAGGAAGAAATGAACTGAGCACCAGGAGGTAAGACTTGCCCAGTGAGAGAACCATGTGGTGAGCCTGGTTAAATGGAGTCGAGTGGAGGTTCAGGGGGCAGCAGGCAGGAGAGGGGAGGCGTGTGGCCCTATGGGCAGCTGCTGAGACCCCTGGGGGAGATGCTGCACCAGGCATCCTGACTGGGCAGGAACGAAGTGACAGGGACGGAGTGGAGGGCTCAGAGGCAGGTCACACCCGCAGCCCCCATCAGGGCTGCTGCAGCCAGGCAGTTGACCCTGTCATTGTCGCACATTACCAGCTAGGCTGGGTGAGGTCTGGGGCTGCTGTCTCAGGCCCTGCAGGCCAGCTCAGCGTCCTGCCGGTCCTGAGCCTCTTTGTGGGGTTCTCCATTGACCACACCCTGGGCGACAGACTTCAGGGCACTAAGGGTCCTTCTGTCAGGGCCAGTGCAGGCGGGTGCTCTGTCTGGGCTCCTGGGATCCAGCGCTGTCTGGGGTAAACTGTCAGACTGACACCTGAGGAGTGGGCTGAGGGCAGAAATCCAAGTGTCGATCAGCTCTGTCCTGCCCTCAGGTTTCCCCCGGGGGGGGGGGGGGGCGGGGGGGGGGATGGGGGGATGTCTGTGCAGCCGTCTCTGCCATCAGACCGGAGTGCCCTTGAGATGGGTTTTCACAGCTCTGTGACGACTCTCCATCAGCCCTGGGGCTCGTGAGCTTTCCCCCTAATGTGGAGCACCAAAGCCCCCTCTAACACCAGCCTCAGCTCTGCATGTGGGTCCCAAACCGGAAGTAACAGCCCCAGCCATGTTCCCCTGCCCCCCCCCCGTCCCCCCCCCCCCCCGCCTTCCTGTCTCCACCTGTCGTCTCTGCCACCATGTGGGCTCACCCTTGCACCCAGGTTGTGGCTGTGCTTTCCCCCGGTGTGGCCTAGGGTCCGGTGGCATGAAACCAGCATGGGGTCCCCCTTCTGGGGGGTGCTGCTGCTGCAGGTGTGTAGGCTGGGGACCTCCAGGGCAGGACCCCCAGAAGACACCTTCTACTACGGGAACTTCCGGCAGGGTACGTCTACGTCCTGGGCCATCTGTCCATTTGTCTGTCCACCCATTTGTCCCATCTGCAGCTTGCTGGAGAGTTTGGTTATTTTAACTTCTGGACAGAGAGGGTGGGAAAAAGAAACCCGGGGGGGGGGGGGCTGGGAAACAAAAGGCTTCTTAAGGCCTTTTCAATTTTATTTTTCATGCATATATTTGGGGAGGGTTGGGGGAGGTCCTCAGGGACAAGACTGGCAGGGGGCACCAGACCAAATGGGGTCCTGGGGATGGAATCCAGAGCCCTCCCCGCTGTCTGTCTCTCTGCCTCACAGCACAGTTCTCTGGAGATGCTGGTTGGAGCTACAGGTCAGCAGGAAGGCGAGGGCGGGGGGTGAGGCTCAGTGGGGTCACAGGCTGATGTGTGATGCCCAAATCTGACCCTCACTGGCATGCCCCACCCCCCGCACTGCACACGGCATGCCTGTGACAGTCACTTTCCTCACTCTCCTGCCCTCTTTGGGAGATAGGCAGCCCGCCCTCAGAGAGCCACATCCCCGAGGGCCAGGCCTTGGGGGTAAGTGGGGCCACGGGTCCAAAGTGGGGTCTTTGCTCGTAGGCTTCTCCTGGGGCTTGGGCAGTTCTGCCTTCCAGACGGAGGGTGAGTGGGACCAGGATGGGAAGGGGCCCAGCATCTGGGACCATTTCACCCGGTGCAAGGCAGGGAGCCCTCCTGGACACGGGCAGGCCCAGGGGGCTGGTGACAGCTACTACAAGGCCCAGGTGAATAAGTGTGTGTGTGTGTGTGTGTGTGTGTGTGTGTGTGTGTGTGTAAGACAGAGAAAGAGGGATGGAGGAGGAGGAGAGAAGGAGCGAGAGAGGATGACACTCCTGGGGACAGACAGGCTGGGATGGTCCAGCTAAGACTCCTCTCATAGTGCCCTGCTCAACACCCCCACTTCTGTGGCTTTGGGGCTCACCCTAGATTTCAGAGTGTGGCCTTGGAGGATGAGGGTCCACCTGCTTGGGGCCTTGGGCTGCTGCCTGCTGGTGACTTCCCCAAGACTAGGAGTGCCCAGACGTTGCTTGCTCTGTGTCTTGCTTCTCTCTGACTTCGCTTCTCAGTCGATCCTACCAGGTTTGTTAGCGCCCCCAGAACCTCAGGGATGTGACTAGGGGCACTTGGGGGCAGGGGGAAGGTGGGAGGCACTTTCCTACAGGGCCCAGCCTGTCCCCCGCCTGAAGAGGACAGACCGGCCTGAGTGAGCTGTGGCGGGGTGGACAGTGCTGCCCCCCAGAGTAACACCCACCCCCCACCCCCATTTTCTCCATCCATCTCCTTCCTCCCTCCGTCTCTGCAGGAGGATGTGGGCCTGCTCCGGAACCTGGGCATGAGCCATTACCGATTCTCCGTGTCCTGACCCGACTCTCCCACGGGGGTCTACGGTGAGGAGGGCGGCGTCCCTGCAGCCCATGGGGCGCGCTGTGTCCTGTTGGCTTTGTGAGGTCACTTGGGGAGGAGGAACAGCGACATACCCTGGGGAGGGCCTGGCCATGGGGTCAGCAGGGCGGGGAGTGGGGGGAGCTTCGACCCAGGAAGAGCCAGGGCCCTGCACCCCTTGAAGCCCTGCCCGCGACCAGCCGAGCAGGTGAATGAGAAGGGGGTCTGGCTCTACAGCGACCTCATCGATGCCCTGCTGAGAGACAACATCACCCCAATAGTATCCCTCCACCACTGGGACCTCCCCCAGGTGAGGGCAGGTGCAGCCCTGGCGCTCAGTTCCACAGGCTGCACTGGACTGGGGTCCTGGGCTGGCCCAGGTGGGGCTGAGCCTGGGTTTACTTCCTCCCTCATCAAACTTCTGCTGTGTACCTCCGTTTCCCCTTCAGGCAGCTGCAGCATGCCTGGTCTGGAAGCTGGATCTGTCTGCACCTCCAGATGGGGGCTGTGAGCCCATGAGGTGCTCAGAGCTTACTCCTGACTCTACATTCAGGGATCACTTCTGGTAGTGCTTCGGAGACCATGTGGGATGCCAGGCATCAAACCAGGGTCAGTCACGTGCAAGGCAGACGCCCTCCCTGCTGGCCCCTGCCAAGTTACTTTTCAGTATTCGCCTCAGTCTTTCTCAGCAACCCAGCCCCCAGCCCCCAGCCCCTCATTTGCATAGACTCCTCCCCCAGCCCATCATTTGCATTGACTCCCCCCACAGCTCAGCTCCACTGCTGCTTCTTTCTCAATATTTTTGTTTTGAGGTCACTCCTGACAGTCCTCAGGGTTTGCTCCTGGCTCTGAGTTCAGGAGTCACTCCTGGTGGGCTCCGGGGACTGTATGAAGTTCCAGGGATTGAGCCTGCACCAGCCATGCGCAGCGCAAGCACCTACCCTCGCCTCTCTCTTGTCGGGCCTCAGCTCCACATTTACACTCTTTCACGGCTCCTCATATCTCAGGCCCAAACCCCTGCATCTCACTGCCTGTAACTCTGGCTGCACTCTGTCACCATCATCACCCGTGTTTCTCACACAAGCAGGGCCGGCTACCTCCAGGGTCCTTCCTGGAGACAGAATGACCAGCTTCTGTCCACTCTCTCAGGTGCTGCAAGCCAGATTTGGCGGCTGGCAGAATGTGAGCATGGCTGCCTACTTCCGTGACTTCACCGATCTGTGCTTCGAGGTCTTTGGGGACAGGGTGAAGCACTGAATCAGTTCAGTGACCCTCTGGTAAGCTGGACCTGTTTGTCCCCACCCTCTGCACACACACACACACACACACACACACACACTCTCATATGCACACACGCAAACACACATGCACACACACAACACACATAGGCACACACAAACATGCTCACACACACACACACATCTCACAGTCCATTGGCCCTCCCTGCAGACAATTAGTGGAAAGGGCTATGAGAGGGGGGTCCACATGCCAGGTCTGAAGCTGCCGGGGACAGGCCTGTACCAGGATGCACACCACATCATAAAGGTGAGGTGCCTGAGTCCAAAAGGCTGCGATGGAGTAGAGGGGGCAGCAACCTTGGTTCCAGTTCACTGGGCTCCAGGGACTGAACTTCCTCACTCATCGGCTGCCATGGCTGGGCACATCTGCTGGCCTTCCCGTGCCCTTAGCTTCCCTGCTGTTAATGGACTGTCGGCTCCTGCACGCTCTCTGCTAGTGTGGTTTTGTGATCTAGAGCTTCCAGCCTAGCTAAGGGGCTGGACCTATGTGGGGGGAAACCCAGAGATCCCACCTGTAAGGTCCCTCCATCCAGGAGGGAGCCAGAAGTGAGGGCGCCCATGGTACGCGCTCAGACGCTGCCAGCTAGCACTTGGATAGAGCTGGGGTTTGGAAGGAACAAGGGAACAGGGGAAGTAGCAAAATAGTGTGGCACCTTGAGCAGAAGGGAACGGGGTCTGCCTGCAAGGGTACAGCAGGGTGGCGTGTAGGGTCCAGAGGCATCAGTGAGGGTGGGAGATGGCCATCTCTGTCTGGCTCTGGTCAGACCCAGTGCTGCTGCTCTTTTGGTGTTTGAGGCCACCCTGGGCAGTGCTCAGAAGACCAAATGGTGCCAGTGGTCAAGCCTGGGGTCCCTCATGAGCTCCAGCCCTCGGACCACCCTGCCGCCCGCAATATAGCGTGATTAACTATGGTCCTGAGCAGCCTAGTACATCCCAGTGCTAACTTTGCAACTGTGAGTTTACACCAACCGTGTGACTCCCTTCGCTGACTGCCTGCCCAGCACCCTGAGAGCTTTCCCTGATGTCCCACTTCAGCACGATGCACTTGTCTTGGTAGTTTCTTCTGACTGGCAAAAAGTCCAGGAGGGAAAGGTTCCTAAAGTGAACAAGGGTGTTCTGTGAGGGGGGTGTGGCCTGAATACTCGGTTCTCACATAGGTGCTTCTCAAAAATGTAGGAAGCATGTCAAAATGTTGCTTTTAAGGCTGGAGATATAGCTCTGGAAGAGCACATTTTCTATCCCTGACTCTGTAACTGAAAAAATATTACAGCTTTGTTATTTGGGAGCCACAGACAGCAGTGCTCAGGGCTTACTCCACATTCCAGGTGGGCCTTGGGGAACTTCTGGGTGCTGGGATTGAAGCAGCATTGGCCGCGTGCAATGCAAGTGTCTCACCCATGTACTATAACTCCGGCCCCAGAAATAATACAGCTCTTTAAAAAAAGGGTGACTGGGCCTCATGGTTAGAGTTTCTGACTCAACTCTAGACTAGAGCCCAGGAATTTGCATTTCACTCAAGCTCCCAGGGGTTTGTGATGCTCCTGGGTCTGGAGCTGCTGCCCTTAGCGCCTTCAGCACCTTGCGATGACCAGGTGGGACTGGACAGGTTACAGCGGCTCACTGTGTTCCTTCTTGACTCCCAAGTTCTTAAATATTTTCAAGAATGAAAATACTGAGTAAAATATGAGGCTGAGACTCAGAGTTGGAAAGTAGAAGTTTATGGAAAGTAGAAGAGAGAAGAAAAAGCTCCCAAGTGGGGAGGAACTTAGTGTAGCGCTGAGTTGAAAGGGAGTTTTGTCCTCTAAAGGCTCCTAGCAGTCCTTAGGGGTTGACAAGTTTTTAGAAAAGTTGCCAGAAAAGTATATGCTGTTTAGCCGGTCTATATCTTTCTGGGCATCTTTGACCCATATTTTAGTGTCCCTGTCGGTCTAGACTCCAGGGTAGATTTGTATGGTCCTGGAAATCTCCAGGACCACTGGGGCAGGACATTGGCAATGAATTATGTGTCTGGTCAGTGAGGGAAATGTGGCAAGGGGAAACTGAGGCTTCCTTTTTCACTGGCAAGGGAAAACAAATCCTCCAGGCCTAATTGCCAATTATCTCTGTTTCCCCATCAGCCTAAGCTCCAGGGCAGAGTTTTATGTTCCCGGGAAGTCCCGGGAATGCTAAGAGAGAACGCTGTGGGTGAAATGTGTGTCTGGCTGATGGCAGAGAGATGGAACATCTGGAGACAGAAAACTGAGGCTTCCTCTCTCCTTGGCAAGGGGAAACTGAGGCTGCTTCCTCCTCCTCCACCAATCTCTCAGGTGTTGGGCTGTGCAGGGCCATGGGGCAGCAGGAGACACTGTGCAGAAAGGAAAGATTAGATTCCAACACCAAGACTGTTCCAGACCCTCGACATCTTCCCCAGCGATCGAGTGCCTGTAGAAAATACTCAGAGACAAGCAGAAAGCCAGCCCGAGCGAAGTTAGAGGGTCCTTTGTGCCGGCTGAGCCCGGGCAGACCTTGAGTGCCCACCTCCAGCAGCCAGACCAAACAGGGTTGGGCCAAGTGGGATGTGTGAGAATGACAGGACTGAAATGGGATCTTTAGAAAATGGGGAAGCTTGAAAGGGAAGAGAGAAAAGGGTCCAGAGCGATAACACAGCGGGGAGGGCATTTGCCTTGCATGTGGCCTACCTGGGTTCGATCGATTCCCAGCATTCCATATGGTCCTCTGAGCACCACCAGAAGTAATAAATGAGTACAGAGCCAGGAGTAAGCCCTGAGCATCGCTGGATGAGACCAAAAAAGGGGAGTGAAGGAGAAAAAAGGAAAAGAGTGAAACCACACAGAAGAGACCTCTGTGCTTTTTCCTGTTGCAGGCCCAAGCCTGAGCCTGGCATTCTTACAACAGCACCTGGTGCAGCAAACAGCGTGGTGTCCTAGCTCAGACTGGTGCCCACGGAGGTGGGGGAGGGGGCACAGCCACACCTAGTCCCTCCACTCTCCTCCATTCTCTCTTTGACCGGCTGGTGGGGGATTTCATTGAGCTGCGCCTGGGGGGAGCCCCTGGACATCAGTGACACTAAGGATGTGGAGGCAGCCAAGTAATACCTCCAGTTCTGTCTGGGCTGGTTTGCCAACCCCACTTATGCTGGTGACTACCTCCAAGTCATGAAGGAACAAATCGGTGAGCCAAGCCATATCCTATCATGGAACTTTCTGTTTTATTATTTTGGACCTCACCCAGCAGTGCTCAGTGCTGATTACTGGCTCTGCACTTAGGGATCACTCCTGGTGAGGCTCAGAGGGTCAGATGTGGTTCCGGGGATCAAACACAAGTCAGCTATGTGCAAAGCAAACGTCCTACCCACTGTACTATCTCTCCACAATCACCCCTGCCCCTTGCCATTTTTTTTTTCTTGGATAGATAAAAGGTAAAGGTAAAGGCCCTCCCATTGTTCATGGATTTGCTCGAGCGGGCCCAGTAACGTCTCCATTGGAAACTTTGTTGTTACTGTGTTTGGCATATCGAATCGGGGAGCTTGCCAGGCTCTGCCATGTAGGCGAGATACTCTCCGAGACGGGCGGAGGACTCGAACTCGGGTCGGCCATGTTGGCTGCGTGCAAGGCAAACGCCCTACCACTGTGCTATCGCACCAGCCCTGCTTGCGATAGCACAGCAGTAGGGTGTTTGCCTTGCACGCAGCCAACATGGCCGACCCGAGTTCGATTACTGGATAGAATCATGTATAAATTGGGATTTCACTTAAGTGGTTGTATGCTGCCTTGAAAGCATGAGGTTTGATTCAAGGGCTGGAGAGAGATATTGCAGTGATAAGGTGCTTGCCTTGGACTCAGCTGGCCCGGGTTCAATCCTCGCCATCAATTATGGTTTTACAGTGCCACCAGGAGTAATCCCTGAGCACAGAACCAGAGGATAAGCCCTGAGCACTGCTGGCTGTACCCCCTTCCACACAAGGATTCAAAAGTGAAACTGACTTAAACAGAAAAGATAACTGAAATGTCTGGGACCGGCTCATTAGAAGAAAAGGCAGGGACCAAGAAAGGAATCAGGCTGATACGGGTTTATTGAAAATACTTCCTGAGGAATACAGTGGACATGCACTCGACATGTGTCCTGGGGTGGATCTATACAGAATTCTGGGGAGAAATGCATGATTAGAGGAGGCTCCAGGGCTTTTGGAAGGTTCCAGGAATTAAGAAATCCCTGGGTGGTTTCACAATGCAGGTCCTTCTACCTGAGCTCACCTATCAGTAAGATTCTCCATGTTAGTGAATACCAAAACCCAGCATTGAGTTAGAAGCTTTATTTTTAAATTTTTTTTTAATGTAGGAGTATTGCTATTTATTCAGTCATTGATTAGGCTGATTGAATTGGGCATGAACTCCACCTTACTTTTTTTTCCCTTTTTTATAAATTTTTTATTGAATCACCGTGAGAGCAGTTACAAAGCTTTTGGTTTAAGTCTCAGTTATACAATGATAAAACACCATCCCTTCACCAGTGCCCATTTTCCACCACCAAAAACCCCAGTATACCCCCCATCCCACACCCTCTCCCTACCTGTGGAGCAGTGATTTCCACATTACTCTCACTCTACCTTGATTACATTCAATATTTCGACATCAGATCCACCATTATTATTTGAGATTTCACACCAAAACACACAGATCTGCCGAAAAGGCAACCGTAGACAATTTGTTTTCTATTGATGATTATGAATAACATATGATGTCACATGGCCACAATAGTGGCCGCACAATTTTGGAATTATGAAATTTTAACAATAAAATCTGGAGGAATTCCTGCCAGAACCTGCTGGGTTCCAAGACTTGTTCCTGAGTCTCTGGGATCATGGCCGTTAAGAGCTTGATCAGGAGCCAGAGAGGCCATTCGTGGGCAGCGACTCAATGTCTTGTTGGGGCTGGGAGGAAATGGCTGGGAAAGGGGCAGGGAAGGGTCATCTAATGGACACCTGTGGGGGGAGGGATGGACTCTGTGTGGATCAGGCACAGAAAGGTGGAGTAATAGAGTCTGTTTGTAATCTGAGGTCAATTATTGTATCAGGTGTTAGCTCTGTAACTGACTCGTGAACTACACTTGACTCTCAGGCATTTCTCCATGCTTTGAAGTATGTCATTACTCAAACACAGGGAAGAGTAGAGAATAGGGGAAAGGAGAGGAGAGGAAGGGAAGAGAAGGGAAGGGAAGGGATGGGAAAGAAACTGGATTTGAGTAGAGGGGAGGGAACAGAGATATTAAGAACTTCCCCCCTCAAGACTAAGACCCATTAACGCTGATGGAAAAATAAAGGGACCCAGAGGGCAGGAGGGAGCAAGGCCTGTGAGGCCTCAACGGTCAGCTCTGGACACTGGTCCTCGAGTTTCCAGAGTTCCACAGAATGTGAGAGCGACAGCTGTAGGCCTTGGCATGTGCCACCATAGGGAAAATTTTGTGGGAGAGGGAATAAAAAAATCCAGATATTAAAGATGGTAATAGGTTATTTATGAAATCCTGTCAGGAGGAGCACTCTAACCCACAGTGCAAAACTTAAAATAGCTGGCGCCAGAATACAGTGGGTGGGGCGTTTGCTTTGCTCACAGCCGACCTGGGTTTGATCTCAGGCACCCCATATGGTCCCCTGAGCACCATCAGGAGTAGTTCCTGAGTGCAAAGCCAGGAGCAATCCCTGAGTAGGGCCAGGTGTGGCCCAGAAGAGTGCCTCTCTTAGAAGCAGACTGATGGTGGGAGTCATTGGGGGTGTCAGTGGGGGATGGGGGGATTGGAGGAGATAGTGGACACTGGTGAAAGGATCCGTGTTGATACATTGTATGCCTGAAACCAAATCATGAATAACTTTGTAAATTCACAGTCACTAAATAAAAAGAAAGAAAAGATGTTGCAGCACAGATGAACAGTCTCTGAGTGTAATGTACAGACTTGGTAGTTGATTCTTACACATTTCTCTGTCAGTGACACAAAAATCCTCTTGTTAAAGCAACATCCCCATATTTGTTTGTGTAGGGAGAAAGTGTGGCAGAATGTCTTTAAAATGGTGTATTTAAAGAAAAGAAAGAACTTGGGGCTGGAGCAATAGCACAGTGGGTAGGGCATTTGCCTTGCATGAGGCTGACCCGGGTTTGATTCCCAGCATCCCATATGGTCCACAGAGTACCACCAGGGGTAATTCCTAAGTGCAGAGCCAGGAGTAACACCTGTGCATAGCTGGGTGTGACCAAAAAAGAAAAAGAAAGAAAGAAAGAAAGAAAGAAAGAAAGAAAGAAAGAAAGAAAGAGAGAGAGAGAGAGATATCTCTATAGTGCTGGAGAGATAGTACTTGTTGTGTTGCAGTCACACACTCCCATCCCCAGTTCAACCATCTCCCCATCCCTAGGAAGTAAATCTGCCCATTGGTGACACTGACAAATGCAGCTGAAATAATTCTTGACCATGGGACTGTGCAACTTGGAGGAAGATGGAATCTCTGCTGTTCTGTCCTGGGAAGGGAGTTTTGCTCACACATTGACCAGACACAAGGATGCAAATGCAACACCCCTTTATTGCTAGCTCAAGCTAGTGTCCAAGTCTCATCCAATGCAGTGGACTCTTGGCAAGGACTTGGACTCCACATTCTGAACAGCTTATATAGGGTTTGGTTACATAACAGCTTTTTTCCAGGAACTGGAAATATGTTTCCAATTCTGGTCCCAGTCCTGTCCTGTTACTCCAGGGACCAATACTATGTTTACAATTCTTGGTCTCTGTTTGGTCTGAGACTCCACTCTCTTGGCCCTCTCTGCTTGGCTGGGCACCACTGCCCGTGCCCCTTACTCTGATAGGCTGTTGCCATGGGTCGGTTTATCTACCCAGGGTGATATTATTTTCTGAGAAGTCAGGACTTCCTGATGTAAGAAACCAAAATTTAGGCCTGCTGAATTTTGGTCTTAAAGTGGAACCTGTCATGGCTCTACTTCAGCCTCATACCGGGTGGTGCCCGACTTCGAGAATCCCTGAGATCTCCTCCTCTGCAGTCCTGTGCATGCCTGGGCCCCTGCTCAGAAAACCTGTTTCCACCCCATTATTGCCTGAAAAATCCACGAGGAAAGAGCTCTGAAGGAGCGGGACCAGGTCCTGGCCCTGCTGAGGGGCCGACTCTCTTTCCTGATGGACACCGTGTATCACCGCCAAGTTGCCGGGAGGATGGGACAGCGGGGAGGGTGCTTGCCTTGCAGGTGGCCACGCTGGGTTCAGTCCCAGCACCACACAGGGTCACCTAAGCATTGCCAGGCTGTGTGCTGGGCCCAGGTTCAGTCCCACACTTCAGGTTCCTTCAGTACTTGCAGCAGCGACCCTCATCCCAGCAGGGTGTGGTCTTCAAACCAGAGAAATCAGGAAGAAACCTCAAAAAATCAGTGGGGTCTCACGGGATAAGGGTGGAGCTGGTCCTTCTCCTCCCCACCCTGATGAGACCTGAGATGCCACTCACAAATGGCCCCTCTGGCTACTTATTAAGCTCCTTAACGGTCATGATCCCAGAGGCACACAAATGAATCTTGGAACCCAGCGGCTTTTGGCAGAAATCTCTCCAGACCTATTTATTAAAATTTCAGAACCCTAAGATTGCGCAGCTCATATGCTATTCATTATCAGCAATAGAAAACAAATTGTCTAATGTTGCCTTTTCAGCAGATCTGAGTACTGGGGGGAAATTCCAAATAATAATGGTGGGACTGGTATCAAAATATTGAATGTAATCCAAGCAGAGAGAGTAATGTGGAAATTATCTGCGACACTGAGAGAGGTAGGGGTGGGATGGGGGGTATATTGGGGATTTTGGTGGTGGAAAATGTGCACTAGTGAAAGGATGGGTGTTTGATCATTGTATGACTGGAACTTAAACCCGAAATCTTTGTA